TAGGTTTTTATATTTTCATTATTTTTCTTTTTTTTCACGTATTATGGGTGTCTAAAGCTTTCTCTCTTCCAAAAGCAGGCAATGCCATATTTAGATTGCAAAGAACTGACAATCCTAGATGGTACAATAAGCACTTCAGACATGTTTTATAAATAGATAATGGCAAGAGACAGTTTTATGTATTAGCATGTAGTCTACTGCTTTGCAATACACTGTTACTTATAATAAAAATACTTTTTTTCAATCTATAAATGAAAAATAATTTCTATTTCAAAATAAGTTCTTTCACAATTCAATGCCAAGACACACAATTCAATGTCAAGACACTATCTTCCAGCTACTTGTAACATTTTCAAGAGAGAAAATTCATTAAAAATATTGAAGTCTTTCAAATTAAAAAGTAAGCCAGGAATGCAGAAGGGAAAAAATGTACTGTGTTGTCATAAATAGCAAGTAAGTTTTTTCATGCATATTATATGTGCAGGAAATGTAGATGCTGATTTCAAAAAATAATAATTCTCTTGAAAAGCAGAGAAAACTATTACCACATATTTTAATTTTAATTTCTATTTTCTCAATTTATAAATTCCAAAAGTTCTTAAGAGTTAAAAAAGAAACTTAGAAATATTATATAAAATAGATAAAAATATGACATAATTCATGATCACATACATATCTGAAGTTCTTTTGAAATTTAAGGACTATTACATGGCTGAGAAAGCTAAGGTTCTGGACCCAAAATCAAGTGACACCAAAACTATACAAGTACTGAAGAATATTAACAAACTTTTTTTCTTTATATCTACTTGAAAGCAAGAGAAATCTTCTAGGATGATACTAGCACCGTATAAATTTAAAATCATATAAATATATAAAAGCACACAATGTGACAAGATAATATTCAATTATCTTCAGATGTTGTTAATTCTGCTCTTAAAATACACAGCTTAAAGTTTGTTATCATGGTGCTTTATAAGTTAGAACAGCTACATTGCTTTCATTTTACCATAAAGATGAAAGAAAAAGCTATATGGTTGAATACAAGCAAAGATTATGAAGGTGTATGTACATGTATGTGTGTGTGTGTATTTGTAGTTGGACACAATACCTTTATTTTATTATTTCTATGTGATGCTGAGGATCGAACCCAGCACCTTTCACATGCTAGGCAAATGCTCTACTGCTGAGCCACAATCCCAGCTCATGAAGGTGTTTTAGACTAAAGTTTAGGTATAAGATATGGGGTTATAAAAGAGGAAAATTAAAGTGCAAGAAAAAAAAAGCATCAAATAGGAGAAAAATAAAGGTAGAATCAAAAATATGATTTTTTTTTTGAGCTGACATCAGGAAGACTGAAGACTGAATTATCTCAGCAATCAGAGACTTTTCTACTTTAAAACCAAGGAAAAAAACAGGCCAGCCTATACTCAAGACTTTGAAAGAAGTAGCAAAGCAATATTAACATGGAATCGATATGGAATCTGATAGATTTTTGATTTAAAAGCTGAAAACAGAGTTTGTACTTTAATGTTTTTCTTACGTTTAGTTTTTTATTGCTTTTTAATATTATTCTTGAGGATGGTTTTATCTATTTATAGTTGATATTAAGTATTATGGTTTGGATGTGAGGTATCCCCCAAAAGCTTACATGTAAGACAATGCAAGAAGGTTCAGAGGAGAAAGGATTGTGTTGTGAATTAATCCCTAATGGGATTAACTGAGTGGTGACTGGAGGTGGGTGGGTATGGCTGGAGGTGGTTAAATGGGGACGTGGTTATTGGACATATATTTTATATCTGGAGAGTAGAGTTTCTTTCTCTGCTTTCTGATCATCTATGAACTACTTCCCTCTGCCACACTCTTCCTCCATGTTGTTTCTCCTTACCAGGAGCCCTGAGGAATGATGCCGGCCCATCTATGGTTTGAGACCTCTGAAAACCATAAGCCCTTAAATAAACCTTTCCTCCATTATAATTGTTCTGGTCAGATCTTTTAGTCACAGAGGTGATAAATCTGACTAAAACATTAAAGTTTAAGTTAAATAAGAAAGAGAATTATTCTTTAGGCATATAGTAGTTCTCTAGGTGTTCTAGGAATCCAATATTAATTTCCAAGCTTAACCACACATTCTGAATATGATAGTCACTCTATTTCAATATGATACAAATGATATTTATTCAGAGCCACAGCCGAAGGGGCCCCAGCAAACTTTCAGACTGCCAGCTGATGATTGGCTCACAGCGGCCCCAGCAACTCCTAGCTGATTGACTCCTCTGCGGTGATGCTCATTGGGCTGTTTCCCTGCCCTTTCAGACCACGGAGCTGCTCATTGGGGGACTTTTTTTGGCTCTGCCCACGCGACCCAGCCAATCGCCTCAAGAGCAGGAGGAGTGGGGGAGGTTGAGAGGCTTGTGGGAAGCCTGGTGGTGCCAGTTGGGCTCTGAGGGTTTTTCCTGAGGAGGTGTTTTGTTTGGCGTGTGTGGTTCTAAAAATAAAGTTTGTTTCTTTTGACAAGTGGCTCCTGAATTGTGCCCAGCCAGACTGCGGCAATATTCACTGTATTTCTAGCTGTATTAATTTAAAAGAGTCATATAAGGCAAGATATTTGAGTTGAATTGGAAGGTACATGTCAAAACTGCTATTTCTGTTACTTGCATTAAGGTGAAATAGGAGTCCATCACTTCCTTTTTGACATAGCCTATTAAAGAATGCAGTGTAAGTATTTTGCTGGCCCCCATTGTTTTGTTATTTAGAATTTTTACATAAGTTTTGACAAAGCCAACAAGGACTTTCATTAATATTCTCAGTCTTCAATTGTTTTTTGTTTTTGTTTGTTCATTATTTACTAATCTCATCTAAACCTTTGGCAAGATGTTGGTATATTGCTTCAAAATGTTAAATCACATCTGAAACAATCTGTTCCAGTGAAATTATACTTTATTATTTTATTTTTATTTTTTGGTACCAGGTATTGAATTCAGGGCACCGAGCTACGTCCCCAGCCCTATTTTATAGTTTACTTGGAGACAGGGTCTTACTGAGTTGCTTAGTGCCTCACAGTTGCTAAGACTGGCTTTGAACTCACAATTCTCCTGTCTCAGCCTCCCAAGTCACTGGAATTACAGGTATGTGCCACTGCGCCTGGCTGAAATTATATTTCTTAGCAGTCCATTTACAAGAAGAAGAATAAAGTAATAATTATAAATGAATATACTTTAAATGAAATGCTTGATGAACTATGAATAACTTAAAACAATGTAAAAAGATTTGGAAAGTTTTCTTACCTCTGAACGGAAGATACTAACTCCTTTTCTTTCTTTTTCTGGCAAATTAACTGGGCTTCTTTTTCTTGACATTGTTTTTTGATCTCTTCGAGCTTTTTTTCTGCATCTAGCAAAGTCTCTTGCAAATTCTTATTTTTTTCTTCTAGGACCTGAAGCTAAGGAGAATTTTTATAGCTCATAACACATGAAATATTAAATGTTTCTATTAGAAATTACTACTGGTTCTCAAGGATTAACACATTGCTAAAATTATGCTATCTACATTTCATTGAGAGTTCTTAACACTATCTCTCCTTTGAGTGGAAGAGAGTTATGAGAATGGGACTGTGGAGAAGAGAATGGGATTAGGCATTTCTAGAAGACAGGAGGATTTTTACTTAGAATTGTGGTAAGATAATATAACAAAATTTACCAGCTTAACCATTTCTAAGTGTATAGTTCAGTGTGTTAAGTACATTCACACTGTTGTTCAACCAATCTCCAGAACTCACCTTGCATAATTTAAGCTCTATACCCAATAAACAACTCCCCCAATCCATACCTTACTCTATCCCCTGGAAATCAGCTATCTACTTTCTATGATTTGACTCTTCTTGGACCCCATATAAGTTAGAACAGGATTTATCTTTTTGTGAATGATTTATTTCATTCAGTAAAATATCTTCTAATTAATCCAGTTTGTAGTATATGCCAGAATTTCCTTCCTTTATAGGGATGAGTAATTTTTCACTCTATGTATACATGATTTATAAACAATCTTTTGCTTACCTGCTCATACACCCATGGACACTTGCATTGGTTCCATCTTTTGACTATTATGAATAACACTGTTATCTGTTCAAGACCCTTGATAGTAGCTATCCTAATGTTGTAAGATAGTGTCATCTCATGTTATTTAATTTATAGTGCTCTGTTTCTGCTCATGTAACTTCCTGTGGTTAAGTTACTTCCTGACCTTAATCTCTTTCAGTTTTACAACTTATAAATTAATACAAAATAAAGACTGCTCTATAGATATGAGAATATGCAGAATAATGGCACTCCATGGATTAGACCAATGATTCTCAACTGGGAGTGATGTTTACCTTCAGGGAACATTTGGAAATGTCGGTTAACATTTTTGGATTTGGAGAGAGGGGAGGGAACAGTGTTATTAGCGCTTAGTAGGTAGAGGCCAGAAGGTCAAATGCAAAAAGTGTACATCCATCCATGCACAGGACAGACCATTATAAGAAAATATTTTCTACCCCTAATTGTCAATAGTACCAAACTGAGGAACCCTGCTTAGGAAGACTTTGAGAAAAAAATTGAAGAGTAGATTTTATGGATTTATAAGTAAGATTTAGGCAGGCAGGCTTCGCCAGAATTGACAGGAAGACTTTGGATTGAGGTACTGTTAAAAAAGAAAAACAGAAATCAGGGGAGTGAACAGAAGTCAGATGAAGGTCTAAGGAATAATTTATGGAAAGGCTAAGAAGAATGAGGAAAACAAACATCTAGAAAGATACTCAAAAGAACGTTGTGAAGAGTCTTGAATCGCAGAGAATATTGGAGAAATTCAGAATTCGTGTACATGCATGAGTATCTATGGGGCGGGTTTATCAGACTGGTTTAGAAACAACCTTTTACAGTAGAACATTTAAGTGAGAGGGTTATCACACAGGTTAATGAGGAATGTAACCACATATTATTTAACAATGAGAGTTCTATTCATGCTTGGATGAACAAAGTTTCTGATTCAACTAAATCCTAAAACAGCAATTAAATAGTAATTTATAATTAGTGAAATTTCTAAAGAATAGTGCTTTCATGGAATTTAAAAGACGAGACCATTATTTCATATTACCTGTAGACTCTGACTTTGTACATCATCTAGAGTTGGAAGATCAGCCAGATACTTTTCCAAGGTCTCAATTCTTCTCTGCTTTTCTTTGTTTTGTTCAGATTCCTTCTGGCATTTCTTTTTCAGGCTATTGATATATCTATCTCTGGTTTTAAGCTAAAGAAAAAAAATTATGAATCTTCAGTGGTTTTGAGTCATTAACAAAACAAACATTACAGTCTTGGGCATCAATGAATTCATCCATAGTTCTAGGTTAGAGTGGAGACCACCACCACCCTCAATTAAGATTTACCTTATTTCATTATAAGATTCACACTTTTTTTTTCAAATTTTTATATCCCTGTAATTATGACTTTTGGGTTTTTTTTATTTGCTTTTACCAGGGTAGCATCCTATAAATTGCAGTCAGGTGGCAGTAAGAATGTAGTTTTTATTGCCTACATATATACAAATTTGGCCAAGATTGTTCACATCTTTGTCATTTCAATAGTGTAACAGTTGTCATTTCATAGTTTATGTTGAAACTATGTGTTGAGTCTAAAGGATGTTGGATATTTAAAATAACTTTGAAAACATCACAGTTCAACTTGGAATTTTAAAAAGTTACTGCATATCTAGAAAAGCACAAAAATAAAGTCACAGATGTATTTGTCTCTGGAGTAATAATTACAATTTATTTTTTGCAAAGCTATATCCAAATGCTTTATGTGAACTCCTGGAAGAAGACATATAAAGTAATCAAAGCTGTTTTGCTACTAACAAATCTTCAAAAGAATTGCCTATCATGTTCTAAGCAATGCAACCAGAGCGAGGAGACATTACCAAATACTTAGGAACAAATAAGACCCTAGTGTGAACAATTTCACATCTTAATCAAGACTATTCCTAATGCACTGTGTCATGATTAAATTTTTAGCACATTTTCTTTCTAAAAAGAAAACATAAAGGTGCCTTACACTGATGTCACTTTAGCACTGATAAATTGTGCTAATTAAATAAACATCTACTGTACAACACACATTGTACATTATTCCAGGAAATCCCAACTTGTACAAGCTAAACCTCAAATTTTTGTGTAATAACTTTTTATGTTACAACCTGAAATATGACAACTTCAAATTTCACATCTCATATTCATACTTTCACACTTCAGATCAATTAGGAATAAAATGTGTACAAAAACTATTGCCTCAAAGATAAATTCCTGGACTCACATTTACCAGTGTTCTATTTAATGCTTTTATAGAAACTTAGCAGGGTTCTGAAGCATTTTTACAGACATCTCCAAGTTCGCCAGGGAAACTGAGTCGTACTATAATGGATTACACACTGAACTTTTGGTAAAGCTAACACTGATACCTGGCCTACCTTCTTTTTCATGTCTTACCTAATGCAATTTCCTGTGGTTAAGTTACTTCCTGACCTTAATCTCTTTCAGTTTTACAACTTACAAATTAACACAAAATAAACAAAGACTGCTCTATTGATATAAGAATATGCAGGTCTAATGTAAATTTTTGTTTTTATTGAAACAACTCCAATTGGAAAAATTAATCACAGATCATTTGGTCTACTGATTTCATCTGTGATATTATGGTCCATTTTTACTTTGGGTAAGGAGGGTCACTGATAACAGAAAACCCTTTCATTTACTGGGGCTTTCTTAGGATTAATGGTGAGAGTGCTGGTGATGTGACAGTCTAACCTGTGGTCAAAGAATAAATAAACCAAAACTAGATAAACTCACAAACTGCTGACAATATAATTCTTATTAAAAATATGAGGCCCAGAGATCTTTAGTGACTTAATGACAAAACACTGAGTCAGTAGGATTCAAATCTAGATCATCTGACTGAAAACCCATGACTTTATAATTCTTCCATATGATTCATCAGCAGATATTCTCTTAAATTCAATCTGTACTTGAATTCCCTATCAACAAAATGTGCTTTTGCTAGAGGACCCAGTAAGTTCAGAAGTAAACATAACTAACAAGACTATTTTTACTATATGTTCTCTGATTTAATCTTAGTTGTTTAAATAACAATGCCTCAAAAAAGCACTTACTGAAATAGGTCATCCATGCTGTCTGCATGCAGATGCCCTAGTATTCTTCTTTTTCTTTTTAGTTAGCCAACTGTCTTCTCTGTTGTTTTATCAACCTTTTCTGCCTTTGTTCACAAATTTCTGCTAACATTCTCTGATGGGATATCATCTCTGTTATTTGTTAATCACATATGAGCACACATAATCACGGGATGTTGGTTTTTTTTCAGTCCTTCCAACTGATTAGAAGCTCTCCATTTTGTGTGGGTTGTTTTAACTGCCCAGTTTTGTACTGTTTCAGATTAACAAAGGTTATTAAAATCTGAACTCCAGGTAAATGAAGGATCATTAATAAGTCTTTTTTTTTTTTTTTTCCTTTTGGTACCAGGTATTGAACTCAGGGTACTTCACCAATGAACCACTTCCCCAGCCCTTTATTTTTTGAGACAGGGTGCTGATAAGTCGCTTAAGGCCTCTTTAGGTTTCTGAGGCTGATTTTGAACTTGTGATTCTCTTGCCACAGCCTCCTGAGCTGCTGGATTACAGGCATGAGCCACCATGCCCAGCTAATTATTTTACTTTTAAAAGGCAAGTTCTTCCTTTCAAAGAGGTATGATCCAATACTGAAATCACTCCTAGGAGTTAACAGCAAGGCCATATTTTAGAGAAGTTTAAAAGTCTATTTTTTATCTATTTTAATTTATTAAAACTGAATAGGTTAATGAGAGAACATTTTCTTATAAGTAATTTTTAATATAAGTCATTATTAGAACCAACATATCAGATGTAGAGTTAAATTGTTTTGAATGTTATTCAAAGTTTTAAAAAATTTAGCTATAAGTATCTGGACAAATTATTTCAGCTTCAGTTACCTCATTTTTTATTTAATTTAAGAATTTTTTTTTCCACTTTTGAGTGATGGAGACTGAATCCAGGGTCTTAAGCATGCTGAGCACATGCTCTACCACTAAGCTATATCCACCCAAGTTACCTCCTTTCTAAAAAGGAGGTATAGTATACCTCATAATGTTTTTATGAAAATTAGAATGAAATGAGAAAATACAATAAACATATATTTACATGCTCTCTGGCTCATAAAAGAAAGACTACATCAAAGGGTAATTTTTATTATTATTGTTGTTGTTATTCACATTAAGTTTTTCTCTCGCAGAATAAGTCTTCATCACAGTTACAGAAAGTAAATACACAGAAAGAAATAATGTGATCCAATCTTGTGTTGGCCTTAAGTGCTGTTTATCTAATTTTTTTTTTTTTAACCAATGAACCTACTTTCTAGATTCCCTTCAAGAACTCATCTTATATTAGACAAAGGTGCCAAGAACATGCATTGGAGAAAAGACAGCCTCTTCAACAAATGATGCTGGGAATACTGGAAATCCATATGCAGCAAAATGAGATTAAACCCATCTCTCTCACCATGCACAAAACTCAATTCAAAATGGATCAAGGACTTAGATATAGGGTCCCTGGTTTTTCCTAATAGAAGTAGGCCCTAATCTTCATCATGGGGGATTAGCTCCCAACTTCCTTAATAAGACTCCTGTGGTGCAAGAATTAAAATCAAGAATCAATAAATGGGATGAACTCAAACTAAAAAGTTTCTCAGCAAAAGAAACAATATGAGAGGTGAATAGAGAGCCTACATCTTGGGAGCAAATCTTTACCCCTCACACATCAAATATAGCACTAATCTCTAGGCTATATAAGAACTCAAAAAGCTAAACACCAAAAAGCAAATAATCCAATCAATAAATGGGCCAGAACAGACACTTCTCAGAAGGATATACAATCAATCAACAAATACATGAAAAAATGTTCATCATCACTAGCAATGCAAATCAAAACCACTCTAAGATTTCATCTCACTCCAGTCAGAATGGCAGCTATTATGAAGACAAACAACAATAAATGTTGGTGAGGATGTGGAAGAAAAAAGTACACTCATACACTGTTGGTGGGACTGCAAATTGGTGCAGCCAATACGGAAAGCAGTATGGAGATTCCTTGGAAAACTTGAAACGGAACCACCATTTGACCCAGTTATCCCATTCCTCGGTCTATACCAAAGGACTTAAAAACAGCATACTATAGGGACACAGCCATATCAATGTTTATAGCAGCACAATTCACAATAGCTAAGCTGTGGAACCAACCTAGGTGCCCTTCAATAGATGAATGGATAAAAAAAAATGTGGCATATATACACAAATGGAATATTACTCAGCAATAAAAGAGAATAAAATCATGGCATTTGAAGGTAAATGGATGTAGGCTGATTCATAGTGGGATAGGGAGTGGGAGCATGGGAGGAATAGACATACTCTAGATAGGGCAGAGGGATTGGAGGGGAAGGAAGGAGTGGGCATGGGGTAATTAATGATGGTGGAATGTGATGATCATTATTATCCAAAGTATAGATATGAAGACAAGAATTGGTGTGAATACACTGTGCCTACAACCAGAGATATGAAAATTGTGCTCCATATGTGTAATAAGAATTATAATGCATTCCACTAACATATAAATAGAAAGAAATATAAATAGAATATATTTATAATAGGAATATAAATAGAAAGAAAGAACGAACTCATCTTAATTAAAAACAAAAACAAAAAACAGGGGCTTGGTCTGTAGCCTAGCATGCATGAGGCACTGGGTTCAATCCTTTGCACCACATAAAAATAAACAAATAAAAAATAAAGACATGTTGTCCATCTACGTCTACCAAAAATAAATAAATAAAAACCAAAAACAAAAGCAAAAAAGCTCAAGTCTTCTACATCCTCTGACACAAACAGTACCTTTGATACTCATCCCTTCTCTTTATGTTTCCCTGGTTTATACATTGGCATTCTTAATTGCCTTGTTTCACAAAGAAGTGATTCTTCCTTCTCTAAGAGTAACTGCCATCTTGGTATCTGTCATTGACCTTTCTCTATGTCTCTTGGGGACTTGGCTCCATCATGTACCAATGACACTTTGACATCACCCCACTGCTCTATCCATAGTCCTCTATTTGAGACTACTTTGTTTTTTTCTCTTCTCTTGGCACAACTTACTTCAGAGCATTCATTAATCCAGTATGTCAG